CATCAAGAGTAGAAATTCTGAAGGTTGGAGACCCAGGTACCTATCAGTCAATCGAAATCCCTTCGTGCACAAGTCTTCCATGATGACAGCTGCGATAGGTGTGGATTGCCAGTTCGCATAAATGCAACGTGGCACATCGGGTATGAGAATATCTTCTCGGATAAGCTTTTCCTTCTGTAAATTAATCATGGAGGGAATTAGTTCGTTGTACACAACCACCTCTCTCTCGTAGAAATCCATTTGCTGCATAGTCTCCCTGTGCTTCGGTTGCACCGGGAGAAACTTCCCAATGTACGCGGCGTCTCGGCTCTTGCCCGACCCATCGCTGCCACAGATATAGCTGACGTGAATCCGATAAACGATGGTTCCGTAGTTGTCACCCGCTTCTGTTGCTCGTTCTACATGGAAGTGCTTGATCGCGATCTTATCTTCTCCGGTGTCCTTTTCGATTAATGTCTTGACGAAATCCTCAGTTACGTCGTCCACATCTTGATGAATTCCCTCCATACCCGCAACTGCCATGCAAAACGTATTGTATTTCTCATTTCGGAAGACAAGGCAATTCTGAAGTTCGTCGCAAGCAGAACAATTGAAGTATATAAAATATGAATTGAAAACGTATTTTGCCATGGTTCCATTGTATCTTAATATTTTTTCTGGCCGGAAGTCTAAGACCGAACTTGAGAAAATTATGATTATGATGCTGTACGATAGCTACTTGACAGTTACTTTTAATATTCCTTTTTTCGACTGGAAGGTTCAACAAGTCATCAGGAGTTATTTTTTCAGATTTTACCTTTACGTACGCAATTGCTGGTCTTTAATTTTGTTGTGTAGCATATCACAGCTTTAGTAACTTGTTTTCAAATGTTTTGAATTTTATTTTTCTTGCCTCTCCCTTTGTTTTTCAAAACGGAATGGGAAATTACGATAGGGGATAAAGTCATTTTTGGACTTTTGTCTTTAGATGCATGAATTATTCCGGAAATCGCCAGTTTTCCCTATGGATTGGTAGAGAAAATATCAATAAACAAAATTTTCGATTAACTTTGTTCTGAACATCGTGTGTCGTCTGAGAGGTGAAATGGAGGAAAAGTCATCTGACTCGGTTCTTGACGAGATAATTGTGTTTTAGATTAAGGTATGTATCAAACAAAAGTGAGATTCACCAACGAATGAAGTAAAACTAGCCAGCCTTTGATGGGAGTCTCTCCCTCACTCAACATACAACCCGAATTAGCTCCGAGCGATTCTCGTCTGTTTGGGTCCCTGGAGGAATACCTGGAAAGACAGCGATTTGAATCTGACAAAGCTGGGAAAAAGCGCGTCACAAATTGGTTCAAACAGCGAGACAGGTCATTCTATGCTGAAGAGATTCGGGCATAAGTGCACCGTTGAGAAAAATGCTGTGTTGCAGAGGACAATTACGTGAAGAACTAGCAAATAGATTCTCCAAAAGATAAACTGAATGCCTTGATCTGCCCTCGTAGACACAGTATATTGTGAAATCCGTGTTCAAGACGAATTTTATCCCTGCAGGAGATGGTTTTCAACAGATTTTCCGAAAGGTAACTTCAAATTATCCCACTGTAGTTGCATTTCAGTAGTCCTCATGTTTCCGCGGCCGGAAGACAGAATACTTACCAAACTCTTGCCGTAAATTGCGTTAGAAGCTGAAAAAACGAGTTTTTCAATTGGATTTTCGATTGAATTGCTTTTCACCGTCCAAAAAAATGAGGAAGAGCAGAGTAACTACACGCGTTTCGGTGATCACGTTGAGACTGTTTTCACAATTGACTAATTAACGTCGAGGGCGATGCATTCCGATATCGACGAGTTCAATACATTAATATGGTTCATAATTTATATTTTTGTACATGTTCCTTTTCTTTCACCAGGTAAAGCGTAGTGCGCTGTGCGCTTAGAAATTGGCGAGCGGGAAGAACTTTCGACACGCAGAAAATGGTATTTGGTGGGTTTTGTACAAGGAAGTTTCATTTTCGGCTCCCCGTTTCTGGATTTAAGCGTTTCTCCCAATATTTCGCAACATGGATAAATGGCGATTTTTATTAATAGAAGAAATTGAGTTTCACCAGAAATGACAAGTTTCAATACATGTGACGAGATTCTGTACTCAGGCGTACTTTTCGGCCAATCGTGCAACACAAATGGGAAAACACAAGCATATTTCGGCTTGGCAACATACGATGCTTTCGCACTAGGGCTGGCAATGAAAGGTTTAAAGTCATGAATGACACTTTTTAAAGCTGCCTCCTACGTCGAATATTCGCAGTAATTCAAACATTTTTACTCGCCGCGTCTGCGGAGGATATATTAAGTATTGGGGACTCATGCTGGATGCATAAATAAGGTAACTCGTGGTGTTGGCTATATACCGCCATCTCCATTCGCGGTTAGAGAACAATGTTTGTCCGAATAATCTGCTGAATTCTTGCCCATCTGTGTAACATCGACCTGGCAAAATTGGTATTTTCAACATTGGCTCGATGGTGGCTATGCAGTGGATCATCAGCGTCAACATGCCCTCAACATCGTCAGCAACATTTCAGCATTGAGTGAATTTTGTTGCGCAGACTTGGAGGCATTCGTGGATAATGGCTTGCTGTGACTGTCGCTTCATTACTGGTAATGGTAATAATCTTCATAAGATTATATCAATTCCAGATTAAGAAGATTGATCTCATATAAACATTCACTAATCAAATAGCTCAAGGGTGCGACAGCATGGCTCACGTGCGTGTGAGCACCCATGTTATATTCTTGTAAAAACAAATTAAGGAATCGCATGAACCAATTTTGGATATCTCGTACTTGCTCAAAGTATATTTGGAATGTCCATGGCTAAAGTTGTGAGTCTGAGATTGAATCGCAGTAAAACTAACTGGTGAAATTTAAAAGGAAATATCTTAGCAAGTCAGGAGCATACGTGCATTGAGAGCGAAGCCTCGGAGGGACGCAGGAAGGCAGGCCGACGGACGGAACGGGAAAAGGGTCTCAATTGCTTATGAGAGCACTCTCGAAGCGCGCGAGTCGGCCTTGGGATTTCCATAGGAGATATATACAGGGGGTTCCAAAAGTCACGAACAGATGTGACATATTTTCGAGTATGACACAACTTACTGATGAGAAGAAAATTCTAACTTCGAAAAACAAAAGAAAATAGTTTTATTCTATCCATACTTTCCTCGCCAAGCCTCTTCCTGAAACCGGGTGACAGTTGCCTTCTGGTCACAGGTTTTAGCAGGTAGCCCGAGCTCATAGATCCGCGCAGCGGTTAGACTCATATACGGTATAATAAGACGCATCCATCAAGGTTTCTATGGAAGAAGGTCAATCGGAACCGCCTCCTACTCCTACCTCATCCTACTGTTGTCAATCTGACTTGAGAGTGCACTAGCGCCATCACTGTGCAGTCAAGGTAACTGCTTCAAAAATATCGTATGGCACCAGTTTTCTACACTTGACTACACATCGAGGGTCACAATTTTCTCAGATGTACTGAGAAATGTTTGCCGTTCTCATCACCCATGGGTCTATTATCATATTGGCTATTGCCATTAGCACACATTATTAGTTTAATTCAGCAGGCATTATTAAATTAATACCCGAATTTCATTCGGGTATTAAACTTTTTTTCTCTCCCTAGGTAGCCCCTTCTGGGAAGTTTTCCCCAACAAAGATATGGGCAAGTCGTGCGAGATCCTGGTCCTTTCCTTTGCTGGCGATGTACTTATTTTACTGTGAAAAAAGAAAGAAGAGATGATTTTCCACCGCGTCCACCGGCCTCCTGATCTCCGTCTTGCTGCTAGTAAATCCGACATCGAACACCGGGAATAAATTTATTTCCTAAAGAAAAGGGATACATAAGTTAAAATATACCGCTAATAACAATGCAAAGTAATCAGTTTTTTTTCCTAAAATCAAATCTGTGCTTAGTAAAGGCGCACGCATGATTCCATATCATAACTTACCATGACAAGACTTATCATGAAAGCACACCAATTCCAACCATGTACTCAAAGACTTCAACTAGGCGCTGCTTCATGACCGGACTTTCCCTGGACAGAAGTTGCTGCTCCGACAATCTCATGAATTCCTGCGGATCCAGGCCAGTCTTCGTGTAATCGGGGATGTCCGTCTTGTCGGCCAAAATGATTGGGATAGCAAACATGGCTATGAGAAACCCGAGTTCTTCGTGCTCCTCCATATCCTTCTGGAAATCTTGATGAGAGTAGTCAAGTATGATACCCAAACTCTTTGCGGTGGCGACGAGAGTGTCGTGGTAATGCACGAGGAAAACAAGTTTCTGCTCTCGAATGTCCCTTGTGAAGTTGGAATAAAGAGCATATGTGAGGTCGCGGCACGGGTTGCCATAGACAGCGACCTGGAGATCTAAGATCTTAATCTCCTCTGGAATTCCTGATTCGGGATTGTATCGAAACATCATGTTGTTGCACCAGCAATCACCATGAATAAAAGTCTGCAATCTGCCCTTTGCCTCCATTAACTCCAAGAATCGGTCTTTCCCTCCGTTGACTCGCTCCATGTAGTCTTTCACCCTTCGAGCGTTCGTATTCTGTCCTGGCATGTTCTCCAGGACATTCCTAGCGGTCTTGAGGCTGTTTGGTATCAGTTCACACATACCGTCATACTTCCTCCACGCGTTTTCGTAGAATATGGGCCTAGAACTGAAGTCGGTATTTCGATCGACGAAGACTCCCAAAGCATGGAATCTTCCGTAAGCCTCCATCAAGAGTCGAAATTCTGGTGGTTGGAGACCCATGCACTTATCAACCAATCGAAATCCTTTCTTGCACAAGTCTTCCATGATGACAGCTGCGATAGGTGTGGCTTCCTCGTTCGCATAAATGCAACGGGGCGTATCAGTTATGAGAATGTCCTCTCGGCTCAGTTTCTGCTTCTGTAAATTAATCATGGAGGGAATGAGGTCGTTGTAGACAACCACCTCTCTCTCGAACAAATCCATTTGCTTCATTGTCTCCCTGTGCTTCGGCTGGACAGGAAGAAATTTTCCAACGTACACGGCTTCGCGGCTCTTCCTCGACCCATCGCAGCTACAGATATAGCTGGCGTGGATCCGATAAACGACGGTGGCGTAGTTGTCACCCGCTTTTGTAGCTCGTTCTACATGGAAGTCCTTGACTTCGATATCGTCTTCTCCGGTGTCCTTTTCGATTGAACTCCTCAGGAACTCCCGAGTGATGTCGTCCACGTCCTGATGGACTTCCTCCATTACAGCAACTGTCATGCAAACAAAAGTTTCCTTCCAATTTCGAAAGTCATGACACTGCTAGAGTCCGCGACCCGCACAGCACTTCAAGTAGTAATAAATTGATATTGTAGTGTTTTTTACCGCCGTTCCCTCCCTCTTATCCTAATTTCCTGCTTGGAAGTGCAATTTCGAACTTGGGAGACATTTGAGAATGATTCGCGCATCTTCACCACGCAGTTACTTTTGAAATATTAATAATTTCCAGATGTGATAAAAGGACTCACGTCATCAGGGTTTCTGATTTTTTTTTCAATTTTTCTCCTTGATGGTTTGAAAGTTATCTTCGGCTCCTCTCCCCTTGCTTTTCATGAAGAAAGGAGAACTTGGGCGGAGAGATTTGAGAAATCCACGTTTTACACGAATTTTGCATTCCGAAAGTCTTTCAGAGAGGTAACTCCATTCTTGACACTCCGTAACTGTATTTCTGCAGTCCTCGTTTTTCGCCCTGCGAAAGTCAGAAGGCAGGTACCAAAACCCTTTCTGAGAATTGTCTTAAAAGCCCGAAGCAAAGAGTTTTCCATCGTATCTAACGACATGCGTTTCGGGAGATAATTTGAGATTTTAGCTTCTTGCATTGAGGCACTTTATGTTCTCTTCTAACCCAAATCAATGGATTCAATTGCTTGTAGCTCCTTTATTTACAAGTGAAATCGCGTGCAAATTGGTAGACACATCTGAAATCATGCATTCTATTGGGATTAACCGCAATCCGCATCGAAATCGGAATACTAGTGCGGATTTTAGCTTCTTCCCTTGAGGCACATTATGTTCTCTACTGGCAAAAATCAATGGATTCGCTTGCTTGTAGCTCCTTTATTTACCGGTGAAATCGCGCTCGAATTGGTAGGCACATCTGAAATCATATATTCTATTGGGATTAGACGCAAACCGCATCGAAATCGGAATAGTAGT